GGGGATCCTACCAGTCATTAAGGAGTCCTTAAAAATTAGGATTAATGGTCTAGTTATAACCTGGCTTAATTCCTTAAGTACCTTGGGGTGCAGGTTATCCGGACCCACTGCTTTGTTTGCATTGAGCATTTTAAGTCTTTGTTGTATCCCGGTTTCTGTCAACCACTGGGGTATATTTTGAGTTAAACTGGGAGTTTTATCATGTGTGTCAAACCCGTTTCCCTCCCGAGTGTATACTGAGGAGAAAAAAGCGTTCAGCGCCTCGGCCCTCTCCTTGTCGTTTGTGACTAGCTTCCCGCTTCCATCCTTTATTGGGCCTATCTGCTCCTTTCTCACCTTTTTACTGAGAAATTACGGAATCCTGAAGCAAAACATACTGCCCAGTGGCAGAAAGCTGTCCAAGTCACTGGTCATTTAGCAGGATGCTCACACAAAACACACAGCTAAAAGCACCCAAGATTGGCCAAGAATAAAACATTGGAATATTCTGAAGTGGCCTTCTCTGAATCGAACATCTATGGAATGAGCTGAAAGTCTGGAGAAGCCTTCAAACCTTAAACAGCTTGAGCAGTTCCTCAAGAAGAGTATGCTCAACTCTCTGTTGGCAGGGGAAGAAGTCTCAAACAGAACATTGCTTGGTTGCAATGATTGCCGTTAACCCTTTCCCTGCCTCAAGCGCTGCATTGTTAGAACACATTGCAATGCTTGATTTTATTCTTTTCAAAATAACATGGATTTAACCGTGTGGCAAAGCATTGTGATGCATTGCCATGCGTTGTGATACTCTGTTGCGATCAAATGTATGCCTGCATTATTTTATCACAACACAGCGCACAAACGGCACGGCAGATCAGGCGTTACAACACAGAGTTGTTATTTACAGTTTTGCGTTCCTTACATTTTACTTTTCATTTAGATTTAGGTCAGAAAAATATTTTTTGTGTGCACCGATATTTGTGTGCTTTTATAGATTGTGTATTTGTATTGGTTTAATATTGATTTGATAAACATTTGCACAATTATGGCAGGACCTACACAATTATTAGCACCACCTTTTTATTCTACCGGTCCTATACTTTCAGGAAATGTATGGTTTGGGGGGGTTTTAACAAACTCAAAAAGCAGCACTTGAAAAAAGAAAATTGCAAAAATGGACCAACCAGCTGAGGTTACAAGTGGAATGCAGGGCTTGGCAGCGTAAGGGTTAAAGGTTGTGCAACAAAATATTAGGTTTTGGGTTTTATATATCCACGTCGTTTTCATTTGTTTTATTATTTTAAATATTTTGTTGAAACAAAAAATCAAAAGCCAAGTCTGATTTTTAATAAATGCTGTGCTTGGGTAGTTGGCGGAGAGCAGGTAAGAGTTCTGTGGATGCGAGTGTAGAAGTTTCTTTGCAGCAGAGTGTGTGCGCGCCATATGTGGCTCCCTATCAGAGCGGAGGTAGCAGGAGTAATGTGGCAGGAACAGGTTAGCGCAGAGCAGAAGAGGTGCTGTTCCTGACTGTGGGAAGGTGTGCTGCCTGTGTCAGTCACTGGGGGGGTGGACCAGGTACAGAAGCACAGTGCTATGTGTACCTATTTCTATAGAAGTAGGATAATATCAATCAATATACACACTATATTGCCAAAAGTATTGGGACACACCTCCAAATCATTGTATTCAGGTGTTCCGTGAAATTTCCTTGCTACTAAATATTCCACGGTCCACTGTTAGTGGTATAACAAAGTGGAAGCAACTGGGAGCAACTCAGCCATTAAGTGGTAGGCCGCGTAAAATGATAGAGCATGCTGAAGTCGCCAACTGTCTGCAGAGTCAATAGCTACAGACCTCCAAACTTCGCGTGGCCTTCAGATTGGCACAACAAAAGTGCGTAGAGGGCTTCATGGAATGGGTTTTCATGGCCTAGCAGCTGCATCCAAGCCTTACATGACCAAGTGCATTGGGACACACCTCCAAATCATTGGATTCAGGTGTTCCGTGAAATTTCCTTGCTACTAAATATTCCACGGTCCACTGTTAGTGGTATAACAAAGTGGAAGCAACTGGGAGCAACTCAGCCATGAAGTGGTAGGCCGCGTAAAATGATAGAGCATGCTGAAGTCGCCAACTGTCTGCAGAGTCAATAGCTACAGACCTCCAAACTTCGCGTGGCCTTCAGATTGGCACAACAAAAGTGCGTAGAGGGCTTCATGGAATGGGTTTTCATGGCCTAGCAGCTGCATCCAAGCCTTACATGACCAAGTGCATTGGGACACACCTCCAAATCATTGGATTCAGGTGTTCGTGAAATTTTCTTGCTACTAAATATTCCACGGTCAACTGTTAGTGGTATCATAACAAAGGGGACGCAACTGGGAACAGCAGCAACTCAGCCACGAAGTGGTAGGCCACATAAAATGACAGAGCGGGGTCAGTGCATGCTGAAGTGCAGAAGTTGCCAACTGTCTGCAGAGAGCTACAAATTTCATGTGGTCTTCAGATTTGCACAACAGTGCATATAGAGAGCTTCATGGAATGGGTTTCCATGACCGAGCAGCTGCATCCAAGGCTTACATCACCAAGTGCAACGCAAAGCGACGGATGCAGTGGTGTAAAGCATGCCGCCACTGGACTCTAGAGAAGTGGAGACGTGTTCTCTGGAGTGACGAATAACGCTTCTCTGTCTGGCAATCCGATGGACGTGTCTGGGTTTGGCGGTTGCCAGGAAAAAACAGTACTTTCCTGACTGCATTGTGCCAAATGTAAAGTTTGGTGGAGGGGGATTATGGTGTGGGGTTGAGCTTGGCCCTTTAGTTCCAGTGAAGAGAACTCTTAAGGCATCAGCATACCAAGACATTTTGGACAATTTTATGCTGCTAACTTTGTGGGAAGAGTTTGGGGATGGCCCCTTCCTGTTCCAACATGACTGTGCAACAGTGCACAAAGCAAGGTCCATAAAGACATGAATGAGCGAGTTTGTGGTGGAGGAACTTGACTGGCCTGCACAGAGTCCTGACCTCAACCCGATAGAACACCTTTGGGGTGAATTAGAGCGGAGACTGCGAGCCAGACCTTCTCGTCCAACATCAGTACCTGACCTCACAAATGCGCTTCTGGAAGAATGGTCAAACATTCCCA